ATAACGCCCCCACAGCTGAAAAGGCGAGCATGTTTGGTGGGACGGGGATGCGAACTCGCGACCCACAGATTGCGAGTCAAGCGTCCTAACTACCTGGCCATGCCGGGCCGAAGACATTTTAATACAAATCTTTACTTTCACATTTAAATGTATGGGGGGAGGGGACATATTATAATCATGATAACTGATTAAACAGCTGCTGTGATGATTAACTCATTAAGAAGATAATGTATGGTAATAAAGGTACAAACATTCATCAATATTTCACTGGGTATGGCTTAAGGATTTTAATTGTTTGGTTAGACTATACGTCCAAGTCTAAGATCAACCTTGTTCTGATGTTTCAGTAAGTCATTTAATTCATACATTTGCTCAGAAAAAAAACTTGTCCATTAAAATAATATACAGCTAAAAAATATTATCTGTTCACTTTTAGACAGGAAAAAATGCTAAGAAGCTTCCAATGTCAGTTATTTTTGACATCTAAAGATTTATTAAGGTATCATATCTCGTTAAGAGTACAAAACATAAAATCCAGTGTTTATTATTAGTAACAATAATAAAAGATTTTCATTGTGTCAAAAAAACGTTGTTTTTTGTGTTTTGAACTCTTAATATAATAGCTCAATGAGTCTGAAAAGAAATTATCACACTTCAACAAGTTCCTGAAGGTAAAAACTTTGTAGAAACTCAGTATTTAGTGTTTGTTTGAAGTTAAGCACAAAGCTACACAATAGGCTATCTGTGCTCTGCCCACCACCGGTATTAAAACCCGGATTATAGCGTTGTAAGTCCGCAGACATACCACTGTGCTACTGGGGGGGAGGCAGTATTTAGTGTGTCACAAAGTAAAACTGAGAGATAATACATAAAATGCCAATTACATGTATATATATATATTAATTCTCAGCTACTTTTCTAGTTAAGGGTTAAAAAAGCAATTGAGCAAGGATGGTTCTGGATGCTTTACTTGCTTCTTAAAATAGCTGACGAAATTTAAACATAGTGACTGTGAACAGATGAGCTAAAACTTATATGAATAATACAACCAGAATATATTTGATGCCAATCTTGATCAAGCATTACATATATATTATAACAGTAAAACACACAATTGAGAAACACAAGTCGCTCTGTTTCCTTCAGACTTTTGACTAGTATTAGTTCCAAGTATGATTATATAAGTGCCTTCATTACTTTGTGTACCTTTAACTTAAAAATAAATGAAATATATAAATAAATCAAATTTGGGATTGAACTCTATGATTATCAGAATTTATCCTTACTTGAAGTGTAGGAGATAAAAGATCATCTTTCAGAGCTTCTCCTTCTCTCTTCTTTTTGTAAGTTTGTTCCTCTTCTGCTTCTTCTAAAGGAATATTTCTCAGCCGAGATAAGAAGTTCTCAAAGATCATTTCGGTTGACAAGACATCTTCACTGAACCAGATCATTCCACATCGGGACACCGTTGCCAAGGTTGCAAAACGCAGATCTTGAACTTCAAACATGATGCGCACCTGAAAGAATAAAATATCTGTTGTAAAAAAAGTAGTTTTCAATCAGTTTAATAGTTCATGTGCACCTGAAAGAATAAAATATCTGTTGTAAAAAAGTAGTTTTCAAGCAGTTTAATAGTTC